ATTTGAGATGAAGCCCGTAGTGCCACACAAATATGGTATAGACATAAAAACAGCCTACGACTCTTTTAAAAATGCTTCGATTTCAGTGTTACTCTGTTCCAAAGGTTTCATTAGAAATTACCTCTCGTGTAAAAGGTGCGCACGTTCTTTTAAAAAGGCTGGATGTGTTCCTACATCAAGGTTTCGTGTTGAGCTTATTTATTAGTAGTTTAAGGTTTGCCTTCCTATCTGACAAGTGATATGATAAACTGAAAACGTCCCACATGTACTCGTCGTAACCTAGCCCGAATTGTGATAATGTCTTTGATTCGCCATATTTTAGATTGCTTTTGACAATGCCCAAACGCATTGCAACTGCATTAATATTGGCTGCATATGATTGACCAATAGCATAGTTAGCCTACAGAACGTATCCAGTAATTGGTCTACGTCTATCCGATAGATTCGAGAGAGTCAATGACCTGTCCTGGTTATAAGCCGTCCAGGTCCTTGAACCTTCCGTATTAATGGTCTGGAGGTGTTCCTGCCAAGAAGAACAGTTTTAATCAGGACGCAGAGGAACAAATTGATTTCTGCGAAAGGGCTGGGCCACCAAAACGTTGGAAGTGATTGAAAATAGCCACAGATCTGCTTCATCCCATCATATCCCCACTGACATTGGGTTCATCTCTGGCTTGCACACGACATAATTTAAACACTAGATGTAAAAGTTCAACGATTGATTATGAACCTGGTAATCAAATTGCCCGACTCATGAGCCATTTGATAGAAATAACAGGAAGCGATCAACACAAAAAGGCTGGGCATGGGTGCTCATTTTAAAATGGAAACCATCAAAACCTGCTGGCCACATTTTGCCTGATTGTTGACACGAACATTCTAATTTGTGGATTGGGCACAGCTGCTGCTTTTTTAGATTCGTGAAGGAATGTGTGAGAACACGTGTAAGAAGAAGTGCGCAAGTGATGCGATGCCCAATGTGACAGTGATTTTTTTTGTTGCATCATCATTCCTTGGTTCGTCACGTAAGATAATGTGCTGGGCTATATAATGGCATTGCTCGTGTCTCCAGCCCTATAACCATTCCTTAATTAACGAAGTTAGTTATGGTTTTGACAGATGCAACGTTTTCTTCTTAAAAAAAATCCGATTCCGGTGTCAGCTGAAGCACAGAGATAAGCAACTAACGCCAAGGATTTCGGGCTGATGCCGGTTACTGGTGCCGGCTACTGGCACCGGCTTCCATTGTGTCCCATGCTGGCAGACATATCCTGGCACTGACAGGCCAGCAGGACACTTATAATGGCATATGTCAATCCACACACCACTCCAGTGCCGCTAACACGCCGACTCAGCACGGCCCGCGAGTACTTCAAGGCCCAGATGTTGCATATATGGTCAAACCCTGCCAGAACGAAGGCTATATATGAAGTTTGGTGCTGCGAGAAACATAGATTTCCCACCAGCAATAATGACTTGCGTTTGCTCGATTTCTTAGAAGGCCCACGTTGATAGGTAACCAGGGCAATTTATTTAGCCATAATACAAAGCATTGTTGCAAGAATTCCGGCCGGCTACATGTCAAAATGTTTCCAACATTTAAACAATTATAAAATTAATGATCGCCACCTCTAAGCTGAGATAAGGCGGCGCTACAATTGGCACTGCCCTTGCGACATACACAGGGGAAAGTTCCAACAAAGATTATTTTGCCTTCAACGCAACGCGGTCTTTTCTTCTGAACAGCCGAGCTCCCCGTATACCGTCTGATGCAGCTTGGATCATGATAATTTTCACTTCTCAGTTGAGCGCACGTAGTGACGTATTTTGTGCCCTTGCAGTTAGGGGCTGCAGTGCAACTCCAGGACCGTTTTATGCATATGCATATGTTGCAAAAAGTTCCATCTTCACCTAGCTGTAGTCCAAAATCATGTTCCATGCTCTCAAGACATGGCAAAAGTGCTTCTTTTCTGGCAGTAGACTTGTCTAAGAGCTGCAAAGTTTCATTCGATTCAAGTCCTAACCCCAAAGTTATTACCAGGGAAAGTAAAAAAAAGGATGAAAGGAAAAAACGCATCTCGAGTAGCTTAATCTTCTCGGTTTTCAATTTTGAGATGGTAAACTGATGTCAATTGCTTACTAAGCTTCGCAGACAGGACGCTAACGATTTGGCGATATGTGATGTAGCATGGGGCAAGAGAAAAAGTGCCGTTAGTAAACGCTTACGGGAAAGAAAACTTGCTTCCCTTTTGCGAGAGAAAAAACACGTGCATTTGAAGCGCTCTACTTCCTACTTGCGGACACCATTTCGAATTGCCAGGTAATAATACATTCAGATTGCATATTCCAAGCTAAGCTTACTGCATATCATAAGAGTGACAAATTGCATCCAGACACTTGTTGCGTGATGCACGCAATCGCCATCAGTACAGTGCATTATGCATTTCCGTCTTTGTCTAAAAGTGCCTGTCTTCATGGCTTCTTCATACCTTATATGGCGCACTGGTCGGTGAGCTCTAATGTGGTTGGAACAATGCTCACTGTTTAATCCTTGCTCGGATTCGGCGCTTTCTTTGCCTCGAATTGGCAATGGGATGCCATTGTCTCGCCAGTCCTAAACCAAGAAGGCCAGAGCCTCACACGACCAAAAACAAGTGAATGAGCCTCGGGAGGATCCTGTGATTAGTCACAAGTTTTATGCTAGTTGAACAGGATCCCAGCCCAGCCAGCATTCCTCAGGCGTGTTGACACGCAACATTGTAGGGCCGCTGTAGTTTGAGGCGCCCTCCCAATTTTTTTTTACTCTAAACAAAATACATGAGATTTCTGTAAACTGTCGCTATCAGTCCGCCTGCCATACACATCACGCGCGTAAATGTGATGACACGATGTGTTTTGGTTCATGACATTTTATGAGGTCATGAGGTTATTAGATTTGGTCTAAACCGGGATTTTTAATCCAACATACGAGTAGCTACGTTGTTCATGCTACACAGTGAAGGTAGAGAATTGATGCTACCAAACAACCTTTTCCAACAAAAAATGTGATGGACGGAATAAAGGTGCAATCTAAAGCTACGTAACATGTCAAATGCATCATGCGTGGCATGTAGATGTAGTGTTGACCCCGACCAGGTGCAACGACGTGCTACGGGACGTTGGTTTCTGAACAATCACTCGTATTCTGCGCGTGCTCCGTAGGGGTACAGGAACGGGCAGCGACGGGGGTGGGTTGGAGAGGAGCAAGCTATTGGTATTTTTGCGCGATCTTGTCTGCAAGGCTTCCCACGAACTGGTAACAATCGCGAACACTTCTAAACTCGGTTGCTGATACGGGCAAACGAACCGTGTTATGATAGATGGAAATGCAACTTGAGATCGGGGACTGGATTTGGTGAGGGAGCCCGAAGTGCGTGATCAAAACCACGTTATATGCTGTCATGTGACCCGCTGCTCTGACCAGGCACCGGGGCAACACCCGCACCATGCGCAGCACCTCGGCCGGAGCAGACGCTTGTCATGGCAGACGCAGCCTGGTGACTGAATCTGTCTGGCTTCAGAAAAGTGACGGCACTGAAGGACATAATCTGATGTGAATATTTCCTTTTCATAACATTTAGTAGCGTTACAGGTACTTACGGCGCACACATCTGGCATCTATTGGCGTTTTCACTTAAAGACCTGTCTGAACATGTTCTCTCGAAGAATGTCCCAGGACAACGTACAAGTTGACTCAGTTCCTGACCGTGTCCAAGAATGACTGCCTTATCGTTGATAGAACAGCTGGGCCATTGTCGCTGGATAAAAAATAAACAGCTCCGCAACACCTATGATTTCGGAGGACGGCTTCTTCGGCGCTCGCCTCAATCTAAAGATTACACAGGTGTAAACAGGGCATTTTGATGTTACCCATAGCCGTTGACGGTCAGTTTTGTACTGAGCTCAACTTAATATGGTTGCCTATACCCACCGTCTTCTTTATGACACAGGATTTCACGCCCGTTGAAAGTAGCAGTAGAAGCATCCGTCACATGTGAAGACGGCACAACGCTTTGAACTGGAAGATCCGGACAATCTCGATGCACGATATATTCTACAGCTGCGCTCACGTGTACTGGATTATACCGGATACAAATCAGGAATACATCATTCTCACACTTTTGTGACTAACGCACGTGGTACGCTCACACGTAAAGCTTTTCGAGCCACGATCAAATTAATTTCCATCCTACACAAAGAGTTGACACCCCACCTGGGTGTCTCTAACCAGCAGTCCCTGCATTCCATTGTGCTCACACATTTGCACGATGCATTATTGAGATATTCCTTTGATCCATCCGATCCAACACATTTAGCTGTAATCCACTTTTTTCTTGATAACGCCAAGACACAACAAAAGGAACAAGAGCGACGACTTGCTGCAAAACGGCCCACCACAGCGCACAGCCCTCCGCCGCCGAGAGTGCGCCAATCTGGGAGCAGGCACAGAGGCTGGGGCGGCCTCATGGCCGACACCATCCCACGTATCCCCCCAGGCCGGACAGCGCCACCAGTGTCTGAAGCAATGCTCAACACTGCAGCACCTGCACCAGGTGACGACATTGACGCAGGCTCTTGCAAAAGCGCACAACGCCGCCTCGTCGCGGTGCTGCGCGCGTGGCGCAGAGAAACCGCAAGCACCACTGCGCGACGGCAGAGTCGCTGAGAGCACCAGACCGGCGCCACCGGGAGGCGACACAGCGCCCCACGCGCCCTGCGCAGCGCCGCTGCCTGGCGTCGGGCGTGATGCGTCCGTGGCGCCGCCTCGCCGCAGTACAGTCTCTGACACAGTGCCGGAGTGGGCCGAGCGAGAGGAGCTGGTGTCGCGCCGTGCCCGCGGCGACCCCCGCCTCGGCGACAGGTCAGCCGCGGCTGGTCAGTCGTCCAGCGCGCTCGGCGACTGTTCACGTCAGCGTTCCGACCGGTCGCGAGGGTCCCAGCCGGGCAGAGCGCGTGGCGTCCCCTGGCAGTGCATATCACTGTTTGTGCTTCACCTCCAGCAGCTGCGGATAGTTCTCCACGATGCTGAGCAGGATGCCGTCGATGTACGTGCGCAGCTGCTTGTTCACGTCCTGCTGCTCCAGCAGCGACTTCTTCAGCTGGAACGGAGGACACCTGGGTCACGCTTCAGCACCGCCAGGCCATGCAGGTTACACTGTCGGGGATTTTGCGCGGCGGAGTAGGTGCATTTCACCGAACCTTTACATGCGAACGGTGTATGACTTGACGGCACACCGCGAACAGGTGGCCCACCAGCTCCTTCGCTATTTACGCGTTGTACGTCATTGCCATCGTGGCGGGCTGATCTCAACCAACCGATACACGGATTTTATGCAGAGAATCACCAAACGCTGAACACGTCGTCGTAGTCGTAGAAGCACACCTTCCACAATCGCGGTGCACACACCCCATTCAAACGTTTCTGCCATACATTGCAAGATGCATTCATGCAGCGTGCCAACAGCAGTGCGATGTTCAGCAAACATTAAACAAGCGTGCCATAAGGTCAGGGTCAAGCTTACGGCGATGCAAACCAAACACAGCGGGCACGCAAGGTCTATGTGTGACACATAAGCCTGTCATGCTGCCTCAGTGCACAGCACCACCGCTATGGATTGGTGACCAAGTATATCGGGCCAAAAGCCGCTGCTCCCTGTGCGTTGAATGCGCGTGCAATCTTGCATGGGGGGAGGGGGGGGGGGGGGCGGTGGTCGTCAAAAGTGGTGTTGTGTTAGTGTTAATAGAAAGCTCGTACAACCGTAATCATATCTGCGTCCCCTCTCACCTTTTGCAACGTTTCACCACTATCGACCTTGAAAAAGACAGTTTTATATCAACGCATGTCGCACAAAGAATGTTATCATGCTTTAATGTTTCAGTCGTTGAACAGTGTAGGATTTGTTACGTCATGAGTCATTTAAATTTTAGACGCCCGCATGCCATGTCAAAGACTATATCTAGAATAGCCTCTAAGCCTTGTCTATCTAGGTCTTCACGGGGAATTACTTCCCTTTAAATGTCGGATGGACGTGTTCATAGATCAATATCGTCATTATTCACGTCGTATATTCACAACGAGCTTGAAACGAAAAAGCCCGTGTGTGTTCACCTCCCGGGCTGCCTACATGCTGCGCCATGGCTGGCAGGGCAAGTCTCAGATGTAGATTAAAAACCATTCGCGGCACGAGCCGTTCTGAAGGTGTCAAAAATCCCCAGTATCTGAAGGTGTAAAATCCCCAGTATCTGAAAGTGTAAAAATCCCCAGTATCTGAAGGTGTAAAAATCCTCAGTATCTGCCCACCGTAGCGAAATCGTTTGTCGTGACGCACGCTTTCCAATCGTTCTAGCCGCAGCTTCTGCGAGAAAACTGGGAGATTGAGCATAGTCAAATTATGGATGAAATTCAGCGATAATGAAAACGCTTGTGGCCCAACTGCAGTCTAATGGTAAGAAAGGGCGGTACTTAAAGCGCAACGACTAAAAGGTGCATGACAACGCATGTAAGCAAATAAAACCGCTCGGTAGCAGTAAAACAGAACTGCAATTGTGGAACTGTTCACCCGCCAAACAAATCGATAATGCTGGTCGAGGTAGCAGTCATATAGCATGGACACTCACGAACACATTTAGGTGCTTAGTTACAACGAACTTCGGCAAAAACAAAACAAATTTAAATGTTCCTTCCTTTGCTGGAGATATGTCCACCAATCGATGTCTGACATTCTTTGGCTGTCTTTTACAGGGCGATGACCAGTACACCTTTATGGTAATGGTAACGTGCGAACAACAGTGGCTGGTCCTGAGTGAGAGAACAAAAGAACGAGGCTCTTTCTCTCTCCATTGAAAATAAGACTCAGCGCCTTAAACGACACACTAATACCCACCGCACACCGGTCATCACCCTCCAAACAGATAGAAAACTCATTCACATCCAGCAGAGATAAATAAATGCTCCCTGGACATCCTCTGATCTAGTGGATTTCCTCCACGTGGCCCGCCGAGTACGCACCTCCTCTCCCGACATGTCCTCCAGCTCCAAGGCCAGGCTCTTGGGTCCCGACTCCAGCAGCTGTCGGCCCTCTTCTAGGCCGTTAGAGAGCAGCTGCGCCTGCAGCTCCTCGTTGCTCTCCTGCAGCTCTGCGGGGAGGGGGGAGGGGGGGGGGGGGCAGTCAGCAGAGGCGGCAGGCGCCGCAGTCTGGGGATAATGACGTCACCGGGGGACGACGCCCGGGCGGCCTGCCCTTGGCCTCAAAGTGAAGCCCGCTGGATCGCGAATGTTAACCAAATCCGAAAGAGAGAAACCTGAGTTTTTCGACCCCGCAAACTCTGCCTCACCCCCTTGCATCCCCTAAGCTCAAAGCTCACCGCGACGCCATTACGGCTCTGATCAAACAACGCCTGCGATAGCAACGTAGCATCGTGGCAATTTTTTTTTGCGTAGTGATTGTTAAAGTGATTTAAGCAATTTAAGCCGGCTTACCCCCCAAACTGCTATGGGTGGCGCAGCGTCAGCATGGTGAGCTTCATATGCCTCTGGACGCACGACCACACACGACCGACACGAGAGGATGAAGTCCTACTCGGTGTGGGTACCCACCCACACGGCACATCATTGACAAGCGAGGATGATGTGCTGCTCGATGTGAATGCCCACCCACACAGCACATGATCGGCACGAGAGGCTGGAGTCCTGCTCGGTGTGGGTACCCTCCCACACGGCACATGATCGGCACGAGAGGTTGAAGTCCTGCCCAGTGTCGGTACCCGCCCACACGTGCTGCTCCAGAGGAGTGAGGGAACGAAAGCAAATACTTATTTGGCCGGTTTGATGGTTGAACTGCAAGGATGCAAAGACCGGCAACCACGTAAAATCTGTCTGCACAAGTGCTGAGCAAGACATCTGAGCCCTGTTTGAAACAATGATTTGTCTTGTCCGCATCTGTTCGTCTATGATTCATTCACCCCGCTATGTCCTCATCAATGTCCCCACACATGCCTACTTCAACAGTGGCCTTCACGCCAGCCATCGCGTCACGTGACACCCAGCAGAGTACGGGACGCCTGGACTCATCACTCAGTCACGAGTCCGCCCTGGACTCATCACTCAGTCACGAGTCCGCCCTGGACTCATCACTCAGTCACGAGTCCGCCCTGGACTCATCACTCAGTCACGAGTCCGCCCTGGACTCATCACTCAGTCACGAGTCCGCCCTGGACTCATCACTCGGTCACGAGTCCGCCTCGTCGCCGGGGCCGTCACCTGGGCCGTGGACCCGCTGCCGCTGCTGACCTTTGTTCCGTTGGCGCAGCTCCCGCAGCTCCGTCTCCAGCTCGCCCTGGCGCAGCCGCATCACGCCCGACTCGTCCGACTCGGTCTTGAGGCGCAGGCTGGCCTGCTGGCGCGTGTCCTCCAGCTCGCTGGAGAGCTCGGCCACCATCTGAGGTCACGAGTCAGAGGTCAGGTCACGGGAGAGCTCGGCCATCATCTGAGGTCAACAGTCGGAGGTTAGGTCACCACAGCTCGGCCACCCCCTGCGGTCGTCAGAGGTCAGGTCACGGAAGAACTTGGCTACCCTCCGAGTTTATCGGTCAGGGGTCAGGTCACGGAAGAGCTAGGCCATCCCTTGAGGTCAGAGGTCAGAGGTCAGGTCACGAAAGGGCTCGGCCGCCCTCTGAGATCAGCAATCTGGACACGGGTGAGCTCGACCACGGCGTTAGGTCGACAGGTCGGAAATACAGGGAACTCGATCACCATTTGATGGTCTGCCACGCCGACAGGCTGCCTCAAAAAAGAGCTCCGGCACCGTTTGAGAAAGATACAGATCTTAGGCCGTAACACAAGATGTCCATGAGGCCAGGGTTTAAGCAGGGCTGGTCAGGTCTCACTAAACCATACTGCCAGAGGCCGCAAAGAAGTTCGAACAAAGTTTCACGACGGTAATGGGCACGGCTGGATGAAGAGTGATCCCTTTTACGCCAAAATTGCCCCAAGGCGAATTAGTTCCGAGCCAGGAGTCGGCTGCGCTTCAACTTCCACGACGCAATTAAAACGGAAGTCCAGCTCTCTGCTAGCTGCTGCAGTGCCGCACGTGAATACCCGCCGCAGGTCTCCGACCGCGCCGTCCCACACTCCGCGAACCACACCGAAGTGCCGAAGCGCAACACTCACACTTCTCCCATCTCCCTCCCAGCCATCATCACGCCCCCCCCCCTTCCCCTACCCTTCCACTGACCTGCGACTGGAGTGTGCGCTCCTGCTCCAGCTCCTGACGGCCGCGCCGCTCCAGGTCGGCGGCACGCCGACTCTCCAGGCGCGCCGCCTCCAGGCCCGCCTCCAGCTCGGCCAGCCGCTCCTCCAGCTGGGCTCGGCCGGCCGCCGCCGCCTCCAGCTGCTGACGCGCGCGCGCCGCCTCCGCCTCGGCGAAGCGCACCTCCTTCTCCAGACTCTGCAGCCTGGGACGGAGCGGGAGCGGTACGGACCGTCAGGTCGGCTCCTCAGGATGTGAAGACTGAACGGAGTGAGGTGATGTGGCATAAGGGGCTTCGCGACTCGCGGATATAACTGCGGCCTTCCTCCACCTGGCTCTGGCTCTGGCTCTGGCCCTGGCTCTGACTCTGACTCTGACTCTGGCTCTGGCTCTGACTCTGACTCTGGCTCTGACACTGGCTGTTGCTGGAGCCACTTGGCTCTAACGTCACAAGCGGCGGGATGAGGTTGAGAAAGAAAACACCTCCTTTCACAACCGGCGCGTCCAATGGATCAGAATACCGTGAAAACGGAACGCATTCACTGTTCCAGATCCTAAAGTCGGAGCCTCCGCACCTGGCTTGCAGCCAGATCCGAGTGTTTTTGTGAACGACGCGATGACCCCGCAATCGAGTGGATGTAATCATAGTGATTGGATGCACTGGCCACCGCAAATCAGACAGAATTAATCTCACAAACCACGTTTCGCCCCGGTTTGACCGCACACGGGTGCAGTTAAAAAACGGCCTTAATGGAGCACTGTTGCACAGTTTAAGCCAAATCAGTAACATGTTCATGTACTCAGGCCTACCGACTCTAATGACGGAATGCAACTAGTGGAGACCAAAAATCCGAAATTGAGACCATGACATACAACGGGCTTACTATACGAGAAAAGCACACACTCAGCGCTGGCACATGCCTGTGTGCCCAAGGGAGTCGTGAGAGTGTGATACGACTGACCTGATGGTCTGGTTCTCCAGCTCCAGCGTCTTCTCCCTCTCCAGTCGCTGCATCAGCTCCTTGTGTCGTCTCCGCTCCGAGTCCAGCTGCTCCTCCGAACGCAGCTCCACCTCGCGCAGCTGAGACGCCCCGGAAGATCAGCACCGCACACACACACTACAGCACGGCCACTAACACACCGGACGATCAGCACGGTCACTAACACACCGGAAGATCAGCACCACACACACACACTACAGCGCGGCCGCTAACACACTTGATGGTCAGCACCGCACACACACACTACAGCACGGTCACTAACACACCGGACGATCAGCACGGTCACTAACACACCGGAAGATCAGCACCACACACACACACTACAGCGCGGCCGCTAACACACTTGACGGTCAGCACCGCACACACACACTACAGCACGGTCACTAACACACCGGACGATCAGCACCGCACACACACACACACTACAGCACGGCCATTAACACACCGGATGATCAGCACCGCACACACTACAGCACGGTCACTAACACGCCGGATCAGCGATCAGCACAACACACACACACTACAGCACGGCCACTAACACACCGGACGGTCAGCACCGCACACACACACTACAGCACGGCCACTAGCACACCGGAAGATCAGCACCAAACACACTACAGCACGGTCAATAACACGAAGCTGAAAAATACGAAGCTGTCTGTCGTGAGACAACTTGACACATGATTTGATACACGATAGACATGTCATCGGCATATATGTGACATTTGAGTACGGATTAGAGTATAATGGGTATTGGATTTATACAGTGCGCACTAGACATAAAATGGGGATGTTCTTCCAACCCCAGCGTGTCATTCGGCCGCATTACGACGTACCCACCACCGACAAGGTCGCTACAAGGATGTCTAGGACCCACATATCTCTCTAGCGTGAAAACGCAGTGGTGCATTCATGACGGCAACGGCTCCACCCTATCCACCAGGTACCTTCAGTGACACACGGCGCATCATGCTGATCTTACATTAGCATCCAACGATGCTGCTAAATCATCCAAAAGACATCCCAATGAAGAAGCTACAGCTGGAATTGCAGTCTGGAAAGATCCTTGGACACAGGTGTTTGAGGGTTGTATACCCAGAACACCGTCCAAATAAAACACATTGCAGAATATACGGAGTTCTGAGGACAGACTGTAAGCACTGCCTTATCGTATGCCCTCCATAAAAATAGATCTACCTCCTTCCTCCAAAACTGTATTTTCTCTAGTCCATCTCAGCCAAATGATGCTAATTTGGGTGATGCTGTCAGTCATTGTAGCTCTGGGCAGTGTTTGAAATTTACAAATTTTGAAACAAAATTTACTTCTTTAATGAACAATTATCCGGACAACTTTTTGTGTCATTCATGTTTTAGGTAATAAAGTCAGTTACCTTTCGCACTTAAATACCCGATTTTTTTAAACTTTCCAATCGAGGAAGCCGGGCGAAAAATGTGACAGCGGGTCTAACGTTCCCACGTCACACCCCAGGCACAGCGTGATCCGTCCCTGACCTGCTCCTCCAGCATGATGAGGTGCTCCTGCAGACCCATCACACCCCAGGCACAGCGCGATCCGTCCCTGACCTGCTCCTCCAGCATGATGAGGCGCGCCTGCAGACCCGTCACACCCCAGGCACAGCGCGACCCGCCCCTGACCTGCTCCTCCAGCATGATGAGGCGCGCCTGCAGACCCGTCACACCCCAGGCACAGCGCGACCCGTCCCTGACCTGCTCCTCCAGCATGATGAGGCGCGCCTGCAGACCGGCGTTCTCCTCCTTGCTGCGCGTGTACCGGTCATCGTTGTTGTTCTGGTTCTCCGCCAGCACCGTCACCTGCCGCTCCAGCACCTGCACCTGGCGGCACAGTCAGGGGTCAGGCCACCTGGAGCAACAGGCCAGCCACCACTCGTGCATGTGCTCAGGGTCAAGAAAAAAAGAGAGGTCAAGTCAAGCCGACAGTTAGGTCAAGGATTAGGGGACCTTCTGGTGAAATCAAGTCGTGGCTAGATGGGGGAAAAAGGTCGCATTACAGTGTACTATCTCTACTGAAGTGTTCAGTCAAGGCCGACGTCAGGCCACAGGTTCATGGGAAACAGCCAGTTTCTTTAAGTGATACTGTAATTCAAGCGACATTATGTTCGCACCGTACACATGCACTGGCACCCAACAACTTTCTCGTGCTTCGAACGACGTCTTTCAGGCATTGTTGATAGCGAGTTGATGAGATCAAACAGTCCCAGGTTACGTGATCATACGGTGCAGGTTAACAAGAGCCTGCTGTTTCACGTCAATAGCACTCAAAGGAGATATGTTGAACATTACGCATATCATGTGCAGATATCTCTCATTCAACACGAGTCGCGCGATGACACCATAGCAAGGGCTCAACAAGCTAAAGGGGGAGTGGAGAAGGGCGTTTCGCAGCATTCCGCACACGTCACGTCATGTCATGTCACATCTACGCGATTTATCAGGCCATTAACCGTAGAGACAAACCGGAAAGGCTGACAGCACAGTTGGCGGTGAGGTACAACGCACGACTTTAAGCTAAGCAGGCCGTCGGGAACAAGCTCATCTGGGTTTATTCGTCGACGAAAGCCATACAAGCGATCAGTAGCCTAGCCAGGATTCGTCGAGAAGAGTCGGGTCATAGGAACCCATTTCAGTCACGTGGATCACTCAATGTCACTCTCAGGGCCTTATTGTTGGATTGAGATCAAAAATTCGTCTTGGGTACGCACTGCGAACGATCAAGGTACCGTCAACTCGTTAGGGCTGAGAGCCTGAGCCATTCTCATAGAGACGAATGAAGCAGCCCACCCAATGCGGATGAAATGAAGCGTTCGTGGGTGTAATCGCCTGCCTATCGAGCTTATGCTATTAATCATTTGAACTGTACGACGTACACATTTCATCTTTACCGAGCCTTGAGATGCTTCAGTTTAATACACCTAACTGACGATCAGCTTGCACCTGACTTAGAGAAAGCACTCAAGTTATGGCATTGTGTCTCGTAACTGTGCTTCAAGCTGCAGTATATCTTCATCGGAAAAGCGGCACTGATTTTCTCGAAACAACGTACAGTAAATTTGGGCATGAGTTTCCTGTGCATTACGAGTGTACGATTTTTTCTGGTATGGTAACACGCTGCTCGGTAGGCATCTCACCACAAGCCGCCTGCAAAGTCTCTCTAAGCAAACATCCCACATCTATTTCGTGTGCGGGCAAACCCTCGACACCAGTGACGTCACGGCCGCGCAGTACACCAGCAGACGCACGGCGCGGATGTGACCAGCGAACCTCGATCGGAGCGTCGGCGCAGTCGCCGCAGGGGACGCAACCGGCGCCGACGCTGTCCGCCGGGAGACGCGTGAGTCACCGCAGTCGCAGGCGGGACGTGCCGCCCCGTCTGGTGGCGGTGACGCCAGCTTCTCAACCGCCGACTCGAGTTTCTCAGGGAGTGGCCAGCGGCAGCGCGAGCGGACCCGACCTCGTTTTGGCGGGAACTTGGCTACGTACAGTGACTACGACTTCACTTGGTGTACGCGGAGCTTTCATGGCGGACTACCGCGAGACGCATCCGGCAGGAAAGCAGTCGTCGCTGCCCATGAGCTCTGAGATCCGCGAGGCAGGTGCGCCAGTTAGAGCACCAGAACTCGGGATCCCACGCGCCGCCCAGCTGGCACCTCTCCAGTGGATCAATCGGCCTCAGGTCGAGTTTTGACGCGCCCTTGACGCCAGGCCGGGACCCAGGGGACTCATCCCCGCCACCTAACACGTTTACTTTGGGCGGCAGCTCACCTGCCTCATCACAATATGTGATCACATCGATACTTCTTATCTTAGGCGATCATGATTCATCAACGTCACGTCCCGTCATCTCCATTCCGATGGGTTCGTAACCGAACCATCGCTCGACATCCGCGCACGCCAGTACCGGGTCCTGTTTTACCAAATCAGGCCAGCAGGTAGGGGGGTGTCGGCAGCTGGCGTGTCGGCAGCCAGTGGCATCAGAGTGGGGAGCGCTGAGGAAATAGTGGCGGGTTGAAGCGTCCCATGGCAAAATGTACTAAATCCCAAGCCCCCTGGTCAACCCTCCGGGCACCTCAAACATGATTTTTTTCGGCGGATTTACCCAGCATCATGTTTTCATTCGAAGGTACCGGCGGCGAGGTGGTATAGGCCGAGCAATCTGCCGCAGATAGAAGCCTCCCACAACAGTCAGCTACTCCCCAGGCTCTTCAAAGCTGCAGACCGCTACTGCCACGGAAACACACACCGCCACTCACTTTCTCCAACGTGTCCAGGTGCCAGGAGAAGACGTCGCCTTCAGCCGGGCCAGCACCGAGGAAGCTACACTGGCCCTCCCACCAGTCGTACTCCAGGTCGGGCTCGGCGTCCCCGCGGCCCTCACCGCCCTCCGAGCCGAGCTCGTACCCTCCCGCCGGCGAGCGCGCCAGTTTCGGCGCACGCATGGCGCGCAGGAACTGCCGCAGGTGCGGCGAGACGGCCGGCGCGGCCGACGCCGACCGGTTACCGGTCGCGTGCGCCGGGTCGTCCGGGTCGAGGTCGCTGACGGAGCGCAGGTCACCGACCGACGAGACCAGGTCGTCCTCGAGGCCACTGTCCAGGTCCGGGTGGTCGGACGTGCTGCAGGGCCGCGCCATGACCTCCGATCCCAGGGTCACGGGTGAGGCCGCACAACGCGGGCCGCGGCTGACCTCTGGCCGCACGGTCACAGAGCGGGCGTCCGACACGGGTTGGCGTGAGATGAGCGTCTCCTGCGTTGGATGCCGTGGGTGCAGACCTGCTCCTGGCCGCATACGCCTCGGCCACGGGAGATTCCGACCCTTCTGAGGTCAACTTCTCGTCACGGCGACGCTCGAAACTGCACCGTTCCCGAGCACTGGTCTCGCCTGGTTCACCGGCCGCCGCCGCTGAACAACATTGCACTGCGGCTGGAACCCGCTCAGACGAGCACCGCTGACGATCGCCGGCGCTGACGAACCCGCTGACGACCCGACACGCCGCCGACCTGACCTGCCGCTGAGTCTGCTGATGGTCTGTCTCGAAAAGCGACGGTTCTTCTGACGCTCCGGAAAGGCGAGGATCACAGGTCCCGCTGCTCCGCGGCGCCGTCGCCCGCGGCGGCCGCGCGTGAAAACTCACAGCCCCGCCCTGGGTGTCGGCAAATATTTAGCCTCGGGCGCCGATGAGGTCACGACGTGGACGGCTGCCAGCGCCCGGGGGCGGAAACAGAGGACTTCCCGATGAGAGCGCCGCCGCCTTCCACCAACCCTCCCACCAGTTACGTCCCAGAGGCAGAGTTTCGTCCCAGAGATTAAGTGCTGGTCACAGTGAGACGGATGCAGAATTCGTAGAGATTGTGAACTTGGCGTATTGAATAACTAACGTACATATTTCATATTTATCCCGCCTGGTCCTATCTTCGTAATTCCTGGTACTGGTCAAGGTACCTGTTTTATACGTAGATATCAAAACCTCATTAGTTTGAAGTTCGGGAAGCTCGGGAAGACTGGCTGGGTCCCAAATGATTCTCAGAAATGTGACAATGTCCGGTCTGTTCCGGCTGGCGCACGCCTCAGACCTCTTCTCAAGAGCGACTGCGCGGGCGCCGAACTGCCAGCCACCTTGGACTGGGTTCCCTGGCATCTGACTCGCCGGCGCCGCCCGTCAACACCTCCCGTGCCAGAGATCGCGCTCCTCATACCGATCTGCGGCGGCGCCTAGCGGTGCTCAGCCGTCGGCACGGCCCGAGGTCTCACTCGAGACACGGCTGTCCCACGGGGCCGGGTTAGATCATGGTCTGACACATCTGTGTGCTCGCCGACCCCTCTGACGGGGGGCATGCTCAGCTCAGCCGCGCCCCTCGTGATGACATCACCCCGACGTGGGGCGAGAATAAATAAACCCAGGAGGGAGCGGGACGGGCCGCCGCAGGCAAGTCTCCATCAAACTGGCCAGCTGCACGAGGGCATTGTGAGGAAATGTGACTGGCAGGAGATCTCTGACTCCGCAAATGCCCACGAACTAATGAGCTGCTTAATGCTTGAAATTTATCATACCTGAACAGCTACGTTTTATGTAGAAGTGTGAACGTATGAACAATATAGTACCCACAGAAAGAAGCATTATGAAGCAGCCATTGTGCAATTTCGGGCACGCAGGTAGTTCATGCCTGCATTGCATGCAAAGGCTTACTCGGGTGGTGAAATAAGCAGAGCCTGGTTCCAGCCAGAGTCCAGATAAGCCAATAGCTGACACGAAGCGCCGCAAAAGACGACACCTCCTGCGCCAGCAGCGTCTGCTCGGTGACCCTTGAGCGCACGGCCAGGCCAGGCCACGCTGAGCAGCGACACCAACTCACCCCCCGGTGAGTTGGTGTCGTATCAATGGTCAGTTTACACGAACAGTAACGGGTGAGGCAGACTCCAAGCCCCCCCCCCCGCTGCGCTGCCGGCCTCAATCTCTAGGCGGGGTCCAGCGCCTTGGACGCTTCCCAAATCTGGGTGGCTTTGTTTAGAACTATCGGTCTGGTGTTTAAACAACTTGCCGGCGCTAGCAGACTCGGGCGCCGCTGTTAAAAGCGCGCTCTCACAAACGCTGGCGGCTGTATTGCTGCGCTGAAAAGCGGTGAATCTCAGGCCGGTCGGATGGCTTGGTTTAGAAGCCCTCTTACTTTCTAGACGTAGATTTGCACGTGAAGCGTGCAGTGTTTCAGCATGCAGTCGCGTAGGTTGAGGAGTCCAAATGTCGTCAGGCCAAGGGTGCAAAAAAAGCGCAGAGTACGTGACAGCATGAAGGAACGCAGATGTTTTTCACGCATTAACCAAACTTTATCATCCAGGGCCAAACTAAAACATCACGGCCTAGAAGCCCTTTGATCGTGCACGACACAAGATTATTATAACTGGTATTCAGCTTCGGCCAACACCGGCTGTGACCGCGCGTGGCTCACACACTGTGCTTAGGCTTCAGGCATAACTATGCCATACATGGCTGGAGAGCATCAACAGACATTCACGGAAAATAAACTGACCAGGCAGTTCTTCATAACAAGGACGCACGACAGTTCTGAGGTAGGGGAGGGGTGATGCAATTCACCTCCTGTGTGCATAAAGGGCAGATCGGTGACCGCCTGTCTGTTCTATTTCCGCTTCAGGCACACTTAACCAACGCACTGCTCAAACCAAACGGTGTGCTAGTCCCCAAAGGCGTCTGTTGCCATCAGATGAGTTTTTGACATAACCTGCAAGATGACAGTTGCAACCTCTTTCGTCTTTCATCAGATCGCTTTGTCGTGCCCCGCAAGACGTCTCAACCCACCGGCGTGGTACATAAAAAAATAAACATCGCCCCTCGTTCCGATCTCAATCGCTAACGCGCTCCTCTCCCTACGCCGTTACTGACAGCCGCCTGTATGGCTCCCAGGCTGGCGTTGCCTATGACGTCATGATGCGGCTGTGCGAGCGTGCCGTGACGTCACGGAAGGCGCTGACGGCCCCATCAGCGGCTAACCAGGCCGCCCCCCCCCCCCAAGATGAGCAGCACCACACTTGATAACAGGCGTCCAGCCCGATGCGCGTCGGCCAAGCCTGAACCGTGCCAAGCCGATCCGATCCGATCCGATGAACCGCGCCAAGCTTTGGATCTCTCCGCCATCGGCTCTGCCGGTTATATTCCACTAATGAGGCCTGGGATAGCCTCGGTATTAGAGATAGTGACTCGCAGGCTGCAGAATGTGATTAATGCCCGGTCCAATTACCCGGCGGAGGAATACGGACCAGCGCTGGCCATTGTTATGGTCTCAGAGATTGTCTAAAGTCAAACAATATTTCGCACTAAGGTGCTGGCTGCGTAGTCTTGAAATGGAATCGCGCCCTGTGCTGGGGAATCATGTCGATGGATCCCATCAGGACGGCAACAGAACGTTTGGCAGACCGAGTGGCTGGGAGAGATTCTGTCCCATCCATCCCAGACTTGTATTCCGAAAAAGGAGCCCAAACCGCGAGAAGGTAGAGATTGGGCCTATACAAGTGCCCAGTTTGGAAGTGTTCGGAGGAAAGCACAAATCCGGGCTCCTTGATCAGTTGTTCTACGCTCTAAGCCACTGGTCTCCTCGGTCGGTGCAACCCAACTCAGGCTATCATCTCACACACTTTGTACTGCATGCCCTGCACCCTACTCTATGACCATCAGCGGCATGACTTTGCACGCATGACCTCGCACAAGAAAACGCAGCCCGGCCTTCCCAAACATGACCCCGTTCTGGTCTTCTTCTTCCTGGCTTTGACCTCACGTGACCTCGCCCTAACTCACTGTGACCCTGCGCCGACCCAGCACAACCTCAATTCAGCCCACTGCGACTTTTCCATGCCCAGCCAGGCGCCTGCAGCCCGGTCGTGACCTCACCGCCGTGACCTCTCGCCCCGCCGACGACGCTGGCCCCACTGACCGCTCGTCACACCACGGCCGCACCACGCCGGCGGCACCTCGCACCCACGGCCACGCTGATTACGCGTCGGACTGGCCGGCCCGCCTTCGCGCCGCTGTACCCTCGCGGGCGCCGTTGCCGGCGGCTATTTTTGCCGCCGCCTCCGCCGCCGCCGACGGGGGCGCCACTGCCGCTGCCCCCCGCTGAGTCAGCGGCGCGGGGATGGGGTGAAACGGGAGAGTGAGATGCGTGCAGCTGAGGCATCTGGTGACCGCCGATGGAGGGAGGGGGAGGGGGGCCTCAGACGGGTGTCACGTGACAACGAAATCGCATGGCCCATGGCGATGTCAGGGCCTACTGGTGGCGCACAAGGAGCTAGCCGGAGGTCTACCTCAAAGGCGGCTACCACACGAGCAAGGCTGGCTTATTCCCAGTGTGGTGCGAATCATTGCATAGCTTCGGGCTTCTCTCAGCAATTGGTTAGTTCAGCTAGCTCGCTTTGAGGAGGTGTTGCACACAGCAGCAATGCAAATGAAGCAGACGTAAGATCACAGAGCCTCTCAGCCGTCTTAAAGCAGCGCCCCGACCAGCTCCTGACCTGATCTGGTTATAAGGTCGCACAGCAGCACTCCACACCCTGGCCCGTGGCCACGTGTGGCTGGCACGTGCGTGCGGCGGGACTCGCTGGCCGGAGGTGTGGGGCGCCAGTGCCGCGCCAGCGTCTCCTCGCCGCACCATAAACCGCCAGAGCTCACACGCGGCGGGTGACACGCGTCTGCGTCCAGGTCTTTGTGGTCAGGCTGGCGCCAGCTGGGGTGGGGGATGGGGGTGGGGGACGGAGGCGACGCAAAAGTGGGTGCTCGGTGCAACCGTGGGCGAGATGGGGCAGTGATCGCACCCCTCCTTAATTCGTGGACTAAGTCTTCAGTTGGGGGGCGCAACACACACACGTGCCACCTACCGTTTAGCCAAAAGCCCCTTGACATCAAAGTCGTCAGCATCTTAATATGCTGCTTCCCCACTCGTCCCCCCCCCCCTGCTTCTCCCGCCCAACTGACGCAAGCTTTCGCCATCTTGCAATGCCCTCCCCGCATTTCGTGTGATCAAGACTGAGAAGGTTTAAATGGAGCTAACATTTCTGCTCGAACATCCCAAATATATCAACGGCGGAGACATCGTGGGAGTGGTGGCCGAGTGGTTGGCACATTTGGCTCCCTGATGGTGGCGCGGGCTTGGACCCGGGTTACGCCATGGTCCATGGTCCTAATGTGACCGCTACATTCGGTGGCACATTACAAAAGGGTGCGCGACGTGCGCCCATTCCTCTTTAATACCAAACACCAAATCAAATCCGCCAAAAATCAATTCAAATCGGCAGAGCAGACAACGGACAGAATGTGAAGACCACGCATATGCGGGGCCTCATCATCAGGAACACATCAGGATAAACATCGCAACTGCAAGCCCCCAGCTTGCAGCGGCTCCTGACACGCGGACCCCGTGGAACAGACACTAGCGAGGTCACACAGCAGCACTCCACGTCCAAGTGCAGCGCGCCGTTCCGGCTGCCCCGCAGGCTGGAGAGGACGGCTGCGGCGACACAGCCAGCCGCGGGCCGGGCAGACCTCGGCCAGACCACGACTTCCGGCGTGGAGCCGAACCCGGCGCGGGCAGGCCAGCTGTGTTTATCAAACATGTGGGAAGGCTGGCTCAACTTCCTGTGCGCTCGGATCCCGTTGAAGGCGGCAGCTTTCGCATCGCAGAAGAAACAACCCGAAGGAAGCAAGTAAATGCACGGATGCGCGCGTAGCTGTTCCATTATACGCGGATGAGACTAGTTCATATACCCTGCCTGTCACCAGCTGAAATGTGGGCACTAAACGCACGAAACAGTTGAATGAAATGGATTCATGCAAAAAACAGGACATGCATGCATAATGCAGCTACTGATGGACAAAGTCGTGACCGAACCTACCGCACGTCCCCCGATTGAGTGACACCCTCCGACAAACGCGGGCTTACAGCTCCGTAGCCTCGCAGTGGGCTGCAGTGCTTTCCAAACTCCCTAAACTCCAGCACAGACGCCTACAGAGCCGGTGCTCTGAAACACGCGCCTATCCGCTGCCGGTCCCCCGGCGGAGCAGCAATTAACGCGAGCCTCGCTTCGTTACACCCCCTTACGGACCGTTCCGCCGCGGCACAAAAACGCCCGAGTATTGTGCAGTGGCGCCGGCCGTGAATCACTGTCTGCACAGCGCCGGCCGCTGTGCATAGCGCAGTCGGCAGGGCACATGTGGGTGCACACGCGGCGCGGCCGTTACTCCCAGCGAGCCACAACAACCCGCGTCGCCGTAATGGCCGCTGCACGTGTGGCATCAGAGGCAGATGCCGCCATTAGCGCAGCCAGCTTTTTAAAGGGCGGTGGGACACGACGCGGTCTCTGTCTCCTGTGGCGGAAATGCAATGAGAAGGAAAGGTGCATGCAGCGTTCGTGAAGGATGTTTATGATTTCGGAGTTAACCGCCCCAGGCCAAAGGGTTCGAGGAGAGGCTCCACATAAAATACAGGTGACGGAAGGTAACAAGGCAGTCTGCATGCCCCTCCCTCTTTCCTCCAGACAGCTGTTTTTGTCACTTGTTAATTAGAGGGCGCGTATCCCGTCCCTCAGCAGATCCTGATATATCACACATCGTCACCTACTCTAGCTGCGTGGCAAGCGCGTGACACCACTCCGTCGTCGGCGCGGCGCGGGACAGCAGGGGCTTGACAACCTCACCCGACTTTGCAGTGGCAGGAGGGTCCAGCGGACAGCCAGCGGACCGCGGTGGGTCGCTGGCCCATGCAGAGAGAATGGTGCGCGTCTTGCGTAAATTGTGCTCGCAAGGAACAAAGACCGGCGGCGGGGCTGTTAGGAGGAGATTTTAGATAAACGTCTAGCGACGCTTTGAGTTATGCAACCAGTTTTTAGGGGAGAGAGTGGCATGAGAAAATGGCCAAATGCCAATGGCACCAAATCGGTGTGTTCACTGACAGCTACAATGCATTACATCAATGTGTTAATAAACTAGGGAGGCACTGAAAGTCAGCTTAAGTTACACGTCACGTCGTACATCGTGCACCAATTTTGAATTAAGTCCTGTCACTCGCTGTGCATAAGCTATTATTCCTGTTACAGGTAGTGAGGACGTTTTATGAAAAAGCTGATTGTCCGGACACCAGTCGATGCGGGCCTGTGACCTGCCACGGTGCGACGCATTGATGCTTACCACAAGCTCGTCCCAAGGGTCGCCGAGTTTCGCCGTTCCTTTCGACGCCGACTCACCTTCTGGTTGAGGTCGCTGACGTCATCCTCTATGGAGATATCTGAGTACATGTCCTCGCCATCACAGTTGGAACTTCGGCCCGACGAGTTGAAGCTGGGAGTCCGGTACACGGGGCTGTGCGCAGAGACATCTAGTGAGCGGGCTGCCAACCCGTATTTGGACAGAGGACGCCACACACGGTGTTAACCGTAGCCTGCCACGCACTCCTGATAATTACAAATACTAATTTAACCGAGCAAGGTGGTGCGGAGCCAGCTCATCACATATATGACATTATACCATTAAGAACACGAAATCGCCTGGCCTCAATCTATTCCCAATACGAGCTCTAGTAATGACTACCATGCCAGATCGCGACAAGAGGCTTGTGGTGCACGACCCACACGCACTTGCCCCTGTTACGGGTACCGGGGGCGGGGTGGAGGTTGGGGGGGGGAGGGAAATGGGGCATCAAAAGTTTTTTAAAGCATTTATTTCTGTGCAACGCTCCCGACACAATGTTCCTTTATGTCAAAGCTTAAGCTTTGGAGACCTCCTGATAGCCCTTAAGACAGTCACACAGTCACCAAAACAGTCACAAAGACAGTCTCTTCCTGGTCGCGAAGCACGTGTACAGCTATCTGCACAAGGTGTCACGTGTTCGACCTGAGCTTAACACTCGGCATCGCAGTGACCCAAAGCACGCGGCTCGGAGGCCGTAGTGCACGGAACGCTTCGTTCCAAAGTGTGGTCGTTGTCGGTATATCGATGGTATACCGCGGGTCCGTCTCGCCCCCCCCCCCCCCCCCGGACTCGGCCGGCGTGGCTGGGCTGCGCACACCTCACCTGCTTATGCCGGAGGGCAGCGACGAACGCTTGTTTGATCTGCAACAGGGTAAATGCCATCAGACAAAGTGTCGCCACCAGCACTTGCAGCCACGGACATCCCCATGCGAGCTATCAGTGAATTCACGTCATCCACATTAGCTGTCTGGCAAACGCTGAGCGTGGGGAAATGACGTCACAGCTTCGCAAATAAGAGACGTTCCACAGTCTATGGTCATGCCAACCAGCGGCCTACACTGGGTACGCCGGCGCCCTGTGCTGGCCCTGCGCGCAAGACAACTATCCCAGAGGCGCTGCGGGCGCCCAGCTGAGCCTCGCGCCTCTGCATGACCCCGTCCCCATCTCTGTCGCCTTCCGGCTGTCATGGCCAGGTCAGGCCTTCGACCTCCTGAGCTCCTGATCACGTCGGCCTCGCTCGTTGGTCCGCGAGCCGGCCGGAAGCGCGAGTCTCCCCCCGCCACCCTCACCGGTCCGCTTCACCAGGAGGGCGACCAAACCCGCAGCGCCGGGTACGAGGGACGGCGGAGAGAGGGGTGGACAGAGTGGTGAGAGGCGGAGAGAGGCGCAAGAGCGCTGGTGGGCTGCTGCCGTTCAATAATAATAAAAAACACGCGCTCTGCTGACGTTAGCCCTGCTTCTGTCCGTTAGTCATGGCTCCGTATGCTCATCCGTGGCTGCTTCAACATTTCGTCCGGATTATTGTGAGGACCAGAGCCAGCAGGACCAGCCGCATGGTGGGCGCGCGGTAAGTTTAAAAATGCAGCCGACAGATCGATCTCCGCATACAGATCAGTCAATACGTCTAAACACAGGCTATCAATGCAAAATACACAGGACGGGCCAGGGGTGCTTTGACATGCACTGTCTAGATCAAGCAGCAAATATTCGTCGCCTTTGCTTGGCGCTGCATGGCTACATAAAACCCTCTTATGTGGATGTCTCGCTTACTGTGCAGAGACAGAGACATGGCTACGTAAGTCCCTCTTATGTGGATGTCTCGCTTACTGTGCAGAGACAGAGACATGGCTACGTAAGTCCCTCTTATGTGGATGTCTCGCTTACTGTGCAGAGACAGAGACATGGCTACGTAAGTCCCTCTTATGTGGATGACTCGCTTACTGTGCAGAGACAGAGACATGGCTACGTAAGTCCCCCTTATGTGGATGACTCGCTTACTGTGCAGAGACAGAGACATGGCTACGCAAGTCCCCCTTACGTGGATGACTCGTTTACTGTGCAGAGACAGAGACATGGCTACGTAAGTCCCTCTTATGTGGATGACTCGTTTACTGTGCAGAGACAGACGTGGCTACGTAAGTCCCTCTTATGTGGATGTCCCGTTTACTGTGCAGAGACAGAGAGGAACAAATGATGGAATTTATGTCGATGAAGGCTAAACATGTTCTAAATAAGGCCCAACACTAAAATGTTAAGCCAGTTACTGAGGATGCGGATAAAAAGTGGACTATACAGCCATGGTAGTCACAAGAAAAGGTCCGCCGCCAGCTAAATGGCTTGCATTTATCTCTCTAAAGTAAGCTCACTTGCGTTAAAAAACATCAGGTACAACCCATGGTGAATTTAAAGGCTTCTATGATGCTGCGCATTTTCCAGCAGGCACTGTAAGCCCCGGCCTGTTTCTATGACGTGGGCGTGGCCAATGATCACAGCTCTGCACCCCACCCCCGTTAGGGAGCCCCAGACCTGCTCCTATGACGTGGGCGTAGCCAGTGAGCACAGCTCCGCACCCCGCTCCCGCCAGTGACTCCGGACCTGCTCCTGTGGCCTGGGGCGTGGCCAGTGACCACAGCTCCGCACCCCGCCCCCGTCAGTGACCCCGGACCTGCTCCTGTGGCCTGGGACGTGGCCAGTGATCACAGCTCTGCACCCCGCCCCCGTCAGTGATCCCGGACCTGCTCCTGTGGCCTGGGACGTGGACAGTGATCACAGCTCTGCACCACGCCTTTGTCAGTGAGCCCCGGGCCTGTTTTCTGTGACGTGAGTGTGGCCAGTAATCACAGCTCCCCACCCCGCCCCCCGTCAGCGAGCCCCGGCCGTACGCCGTGTCACCTGTTCTCGACAAGAGGCAGGGTCCATGCCAGAACAGACACTGGGTGTGGGGTAGTTGGAGGGGAGGGAGCCGGCGGGACACGACCCGCTCCACTGGCTCGCAAACCACCGCCGAATCCCCACTCCGGACGGGCGTCCGTAAGGCGAGGCCTCGTCTCAGTTGAGGCGTGCAGGGCACACGCAGCCTGCGTCCATGCGCACGCGCACACGCTCGGTGCGGTTCAATGCACCCAGCCCGCGTGACCTCGAGTGTTGGCACAGGCGTGCTCGTGGGGCAAGAACGCGAGGCTCCGCGCCGCGTGGGCGAGGTGGCTAATGACGGGCTCGGCGCTCGGTGAAGCAGCGTCGTCACAGATCGCCGCCGCCGCCGCCGGAACAGATTGGCCCCCTCGACCGCCGGGCCGCCCGAACCGCCTCCGCCGCCAGCCCCTCCACCGTCGCTTCACAGCGGTAAGGCCAGACCTCCAGGGAGGCCCGCCGCCCCTGGGCTGGCCTGACGCGAAGTGACGGATCACGTGACGTCTAAAGAGGTGGAGATAACCACTCAGGTGCCGCACCCGGCCGGTGCGGAAGCGTGACGGGGAACGAGGGCGGGTCTAAGCGCACCCAACAGGACGGGGTTCGTACCCAGGACGCGGATAACACATGGTCCTAGTGCATGGGTGTAGTTTGCTACCCAGCTGGGGGGGGGGGGGATGGCTCCGGCCTCCCAGCCTGGGGCTGCACCCCTCCCCCTCTGCCCCCTTTGAAAAGAAAGTGGGCAAAATTTGGGTAATCGATTACTGGGTTACTTTGGAGATAGGTCGTGGCGATTTTCTCATGCTCAGCCCCCCTCCTACCTCATTTAGCAAAACTACCCCCAGCTGTAGCGCAAGCACAAGGGCCTGCTCCCATATATACTTTGGCACGCTCCCACCCGAAGATCCGGTGATGGCTCCGCCCCTGACAGTGATCTTCACGAGGAGTGTGGGCCGCGCTGCTGTCAGTCACCACTCAGCGCCCCCAAGCTGGACGTCGCCAGCAGCGTCCGCTGGTGAAAGCTGCATCGACGCGGCGCAGCCAAACGCACGGAAAGCCATGAGACGGCGTGGGAAATATGTCGCCCGCAGCGTCGCTGCGGACACCGCGGCGATCACGGCAGCTCCCGCGTGCTCCGGCTAATCGGCGGGCGGCTGGCCGGCGCTCCACTTGCACGCTGGCCAGGGCCGCGGGCAGGCTCTGGCCGCTTGAGCGCGGGGGACTTGGCTACTTGAGTGCTGGGAGGAGTTGGTTACTTGAGTGCTGGGAGGAGTTGGTTACTTGAGCGCGGGGGACTTGATAACTTGAGCGCGGGGGGGACTTGATAACTTGAGTATTGTGAGGGGTTGGTTACTTGAGCGCCGAGATGATTTGGTAACTTGAGCGCGGGGAAGACTTGATTACGTGAGTATTGGGAGGGGTTGGTTACTTGAGCGCCGAGATGATTTGGTAACCTGAGCGCGGGAAGGACTTGATTACTTGAGTATTGGGAGGGGTTGGTTACTTGAGCGCCGAGATGATTTGGTAACTTGAGCGCGGGGAAGACTTGATTACGTGAGTATTGGGAGGGGTTGGTTACTTGAGCGCCGAAATGATTTGGTAAGTTGAGCGCGGGGAGGATTCGACTGCTTGAGCTCGGGAAGGTTCTGATTACTTGAGCGTGGGGAGGCTTTGGTTACTTGAGCTCGGGAAGGCTCTAGTTACTTGAGCGCGGGAAAGGGGATAATTGAGCGTGGGGAGGCTTTGATTGCTTGAACATCAAACACAAGAAGCGGAAGCATGACAGATGTGGCAGAGCCGTACCAGTTTTCGATAAACTGCAATTTTTTAAACACTTTGTGATTAAAGGATGTGCCTCCCGCCTATATTGCTACACCGTCTTCTCTTAGCATTTTTCACCCTTAGCATGCGCTATGATGCGAACCCAAAGGCTATCACACACTTAATTTTTTGCAGTCAGTCCTTATGCGACAAAATATTCAGCTGGTCAGAAATTCATTATCAAGGACGGCTTGTGTTAACACTTTCTTCGAGTCGAATTTTGTACAAACTTGCTTTGTCGGCATAAATATACTGTAAATATCGCGAAAAGATAGCTTGGTCGGCTAGCTAGAAATAGCATTTACTCATGGTATATCGTCATTTTCTAGGGGTTTCACTTCTGCTTTCGAGCCACAAAGCAGCCTTTTTGGAAAAGTGGGCGCATGGGTCAGACGAGTGGAACAGGTGAACGAACCAGCGAGCAAATAAGTAAATAAGTGAGTGAGATTGTGAGAAGAGTGAATGTCGACAGGGAGGAAAATAGATCAACAAAACTTTACAAGGAAGGTGTCGGGGTAGACATAGGTAACAGGAGTAAGGAAATATTACCCCCACTTTTCCCACCCCTAATCTCCCGTTTGCAGCTCGTGGACATGCCTTGCTCCATTCACGGTACACGGCAAGCCGTCAGAGCGCCACCAGCAGCACCCCACAGCTGCCAGGGTTCCATTCCTCACAGCCGAGCGCCACTAATTCGTTTACCGTCTGAGAGGGCAGAGCGATGACGCCACAGACACGAGTGACGTAACTCCGATGGGGTGACGTCACACCCGCCGGGCCAATCGCGCCTGGTAACGGGCGTGCACGCCGCTCGCCGCGAGCGCGCGCGCTCGGTTGGTCGGTCGGTCGGCGCCCGGTCCCGATGGCGAAACTACCTTCACCATGTAACGCACAGTGGCTCGCCGCCACGGCTAACCCGGTAAAGAGCTGTCGGACTCCAGCAACAGGTCCGAGTCCACGTTCGGCAGCGACGGGCGCGATCTTGTGCGAATAGTCTTCGATCCCCATTGCATATTGTCATGCTCATCCGAGCCGTTCTGGCCATCCGGGCTAAAATCTCGCTCGCTTAGATTCTAACGAAACAGCGGGAGTAAAGACGCTAGTTAGCGGCCAACTGCAGAGGTTTCAGCTCTGATGCAAGTAATCACCTCTTACCGTGCTAGGGATATTCGCCCAGCTTTTCTCCCCCCCCCCCCCCACACACGCTCAGCCAGTTAGCAAAGGCCAGGCAAGCCGAAGGCGCAGCATAAATCAGTGCGACGGGCTCCGGGCCCTCGCAGTGATCCATTTTTCTGAGAGGGGTAAGAAAACGAGACAGGTCGGTATTTCATTATGGGCCACGGCACAGTAAATCAAAAATGCATGAGATGGGCCTGCAAACACAAGTGTGGACGACAGCTTTTCAAACATGGGGCCATGCAGGCCAGAGTTCAGGTGTAAACCACGTTGAAGTTTTCATTCTTCAGAGTTTTTCATTCACGTATGCGTGCATGCATTCCACAGAGTTTTGTAGGGGTGCCGGTAATTAAATGGTTTAAGGCTAGCTGGCGCATATCCTCGTTGCACATAGGCGTAACGCATTTTACGCTTTGTCAAGGTTGAAAGACACATGACTTATGTTGGTGTGGATAATTACAAATGACGACTTTGTTAAGGCAGTCAGGTAAAATGCACCCCGATTCCCACAATCAGTGTAGCCATGGTAGCCTATCTGAGGGAACAAAGGACACTCTGTTTACCACACACTGGTCCCACAGTGTCGGCGAGAACGGCGGCTGGACCCCCGGAGCCCCCATTCCAAGGAATGCCGAGCGGCCTTTTACGTCCAAAGTCGGATTCGGAGCAGGGTATACACGTCACATGACCTCTGGCTACACCCGCGGCATCTGAAGCGGGCGCGAGACAACTCCACATTCGTCTCGTTGGGCAAATGTCATCAACCTGCAGAGCATGAACGAATGAAGCTGAATGAACCTGAAGACCAGGGTTTGCCGTGCGATGTCAGCCATTTAACCAATCGTGGCCTGTCTCATAAACAAGGGCATGCTTACAATCTGCCGGCGGCTGTAGGCGGTGATTGCCATTCGGTAACTGTTGATTTCCTCTCTTTAACACGATCATCGCACCGCCTCTTCGCGGCAGGGCATGCCACTTCCACGTGGGAAACGCGCACTTCGGACTGCTGGATCAACATACCACCGATACAAAGCCATGCTTTATATGGGACACGCTTTCCAGAATAGCAATGAAAGCATGCAACCCATCCCCATAAGGCCGGCTACCGTCTTCCCACCGTATAAACTGCACGCCTCTGAATAGCTACACAAACGTTCGGTATGTTTTATGCTGGCCTTATCTTATCTATACCACTTAAACACTGGCCAGCTCTGGCCAAGGTTTAAGTAACACAGCAATGAAGTTCGCCTGGCTGCAACGCCCGAGGCGATTCAGGAGGGCAAATGTCATCGGCGCCGTAACTGCCCGAGGTCACGACAGGTCTAACAGCGGCGACCAGGGTCAAACGCTTGACCAACGTTTAAGCAGCGTGGCAGTTGAGTTCGCCTGGCTCCAACGCCCGAGGCAATTCATGCGGGCAAAGGTCCCTGGCGTCGTAACTGCCCGGTGGCACGACAGGTTCGGCAGCGGCCACCAGGGTCCAGCACCGGCGATGTATATATACCCGGCGGGGTCGCGGTGTCACGGCCGTTTTAGTGGAGTTTCCTGGGCAGCCCGAGGACGAAACACGGGGCGGGTGGCCCCCGCCACGGAGCCACAGCCGGCCGGTTCACAGCCCTCACCGCACCACTCGGCGGTGACCCGCAAGTTCGGTCACGTGATCAGGAACGCCCACCGCCGGCCCGTTCACAGGCCTCACCGGAACACTTCGCGGGGACCTGGGCGCCCCATCACGTGACCTTTGGGTGGCCGCCCACGGCGCGGTGGCGGCGATAAATCCCTGCAGGACCACGCCCCTACGCTGCACTGAGGTGCGTGGCTCTGACCTCGGAAATCGATACGCCGCCACGCAGCAGTGGCGCTAGCAGCGGCTAACGCTCTGTGCGGCCCGCGGCAGCGTTATCACCACAGTACGCAGGTCTTTAGCCGTGGGGCACCATTTAAAGCTAATCCTTTCCTAAGCGTTTTCCTACATGTTATACTTTTGATCCCAAGACACCCTTTTGGTTCATCAGTTTCATTGATTTTGCGGTTGAGATCGCATAATAGCCTTCAAAATAGTGTCATCATCTCACGGCCGGCCATTCGGCAAATTTTGTTTTACTCTATAGCAGTACACACCTTTTGCTTACGAACGCAAAATGACGCACGCATTTTTTGGTGAATGTATCCGGTCACTGCGTATAGATAGCGTCAACGGATTTCTCAGGTTCCACGTAACACATCTCTCCTATTCCAGGCACCGAGCGACCCCTTCAGACCGGGGTAATCGATCAGTGACACACAGCTAACGGGAACTGAAAGCGGCAGCACGGGACCCGTCCGGCCGGCACCGACAGCGGCACGTGCCAGGCACGAGGCAGCTCCGGAGTGTGCAGAACAACTGATGCAAGGCAGCATCCTGATGTACAGCGCAGTGGGGTAACGCGGCAACGCATTCATGCATAACATGTATCACGTCCCAGATGTTGACTTAATTCGGCGGGTCCCCGTGCATGCACATGCCGAAAACCGCACTGAAGTTGGCCACAAATTCACAGAACCCGACCGCGCTTTTTCAGTGGTGGTGCAGTATGTTTACAGTTCCCTTGCATCACATGACTACACTGTCTGATCCGTGGCCCCCTCCCGCTTCCTCTCCCCTCTCCTCCGCTCGGGAGATACTGATCGCGTGGTGGCACGCCAAGCAGAGACCACATCGATTTGAGCCGCACTGGGAAGACAGGGGCGAGCCTCCTCTTCGGGCCGGATAGCCCACACACGGCGAGCCGGAAGGACGGGTAGCCGGACATAACCGGACATTTCCGGATGGTCGCCGGGCTCGCCGAA